TCCTCGGCAATTCAAGTCGTCGAGTGAAGCGGCCACAACAATCGTCGATTGTTTAATCATTAATTGGAGAGCGCTTGCGGAAAGCATGGCGAGGGCAGCTATCACCAAACACTGCCCACGTTCAAAGGTTCCGAAAGTCAACCCTCAGATTGTGGAACAGGAGAAGAAGAAAAACAACATGTAGTTGATTAGAGACCTTGACTAACATAACCTCTCCCTCCCACAAACATATCATCTGTGGTGTGGGAGGGTACCTGGAAGGTCTTCTTAAGTGCATGTTACTGGGAGTCTCTTTTTTTTAAATAAACATCCATCGGCTAAACCAGACAACCAAACCGTTTGGGGACAACAAGAACACGGGGCGCTCTTGGCGCTTTTTGCGCTTGCAGCTTCGGTGGGGCGCAAGTCCGCGGCTCGGCCGAACTCCGTGAAGGGATCCACAGTGTCCACGGTGGCGGTGTCGGGGAAGGAGAAGTCCAGGGTCCAGGACTTGAAGCCGTCCTGAGGCAGTCGAATCCCAGGAATTCTCATGGGAGGGAGAGGGGACAACCCATTGACACCTGATGGGGCATGGAAGATCATGGAAGCATCATGTGGTGAGGGGGGACAACTAAAGTCCTTCAGGCCATTTGAAGGGGAAGTGGGGTTCGGAGCCCAACTGAGCCCTTCAGGCCATATTATGCCTGTCGGAGCCCAAGCGCTTGAGGCCATATGCCTGGCGCCGATTTCGGGGGCGTCCTTTTGAGCCATTCCCATTCCAACTCGGGTTGAAGGGGCGCAGGGGCCCGGAAACCGCTGCAACCGCAAAGGGGGTTGGTGCGAACGCCCCTTGGAAAACGCCTCCAGAAGGAGGAAGAAACAAAAAGCAACCGGTTCCAATGGTCCAAGGAAATCGCTTGCCCATCAAGGGCTTTGGGCCTTCAGGGCATATATATATATATATCCTAGGTTCCCTGAACGGAGGGAAACGGCTTCTGGCCTTGGACAGGGCGTATTCCTAGGCTGAACAGAAACCCATCCACAGGAATGACTGCGCCGGCCCGACTCCGGAACACCCCCCTGCCCATCCCCCGCAGCGCGAACCCCGGTCCCTGAGATTGAAGACGCCATCGATGAGGAGGTAACTGGCAAATCAGGCGTGGTTACCCTCCCCATCCTTCAGGTTTCCGCTTTTTGCTTTTTGTTGAGTTCCCCCCTTTTTGGCGGCAAAGGGAAACCAACAGAAAACCGTGCAGCCATTTTGGGTGTCCAACCTTAAAAACGACAAGCCATCCGTTCATTGGATTCTGGAGGTTGACACCATAAACACTACAAGAAGCAGAGTTTCAAATCCCACCACCGCGCCAAACCACAAACTAAGGGTTACCTGAAACAAGATGAAACCGCAAAGCAGCCGACAAGAGGGTGCCCAAGAGGGCATGGCAATCAGCTCGCACCTGAAAATGCTGTGGATGACAAAGGCATTCACAACGATGCACAGCACATCCACCGCGTTCCACATGTCTTCCACAAAGAAGTCGTAGAGAAATATGTACCACGCCCTCTCCAATGAGGTCCTAGGGATTTTTCCAGCTGGGGCACAGGGCCCTGAAGAAAAAATGTTACGCAAACATCGAAGGAAGACCTTCAGGCATGATTTGCGCGTCGGGTGGGCCAAGGGAAGCAGAAAAGGACTGCTGCCCTCGAGTCACCAGAAAGAGGCAACCAAGTTGTTACACTGAAATGCATCTTGACTTGGGAATGTGTCAGAACTAGAGTCACTGCAGGTCAAAGGATCGGACACCGGCCGCACAGGTGCAGCCGGGGGTTGGGAGGGGAGCTTCCGGGTGTTTCGCCACTAGTCACCAGGGATCCTTACGTCTTTACATCATGGTTCACCCTGATTGGCAACTGAAGCACTGGGCTTTGCATTCAATACAGCTTGATCTTGAAAATCAACTGCGTTCGCCACTCCGGTCATCCTGATCTGCTGCTTCCCAGGCAATGCCCTTTGAGGCTGGAGAACATGCAAGGCAAGCTCAGGGGCAAAGGGCTTGATATTCTGTGGATAGAAAATACATCATTATTCCAAAACAATTAACAATAAAATACAACTAAGAACAATCTATACTAATCAAACCGCGCCTTCAAAAAAAACAGTAAAAGTACAACAAGGCCTCATATCTACCACATGCCATTTTCATAAAGAGAACCATGTCAAGCAAGGGGAAAACAAAATACATTTAGGTCTCAATAAGTAAACATACAACCAACACAAAACAAAGAGTAAAATCCCGAGACCCAAAATAACTTTGAGCGTGGCTTACCTTAACGACGGGCCCGGAAACATAAACACACGTTTAATAAACTCTGACACCTCCCCCCCTTGATAGACACATCTTAGACTGGTCCAAGCATGACTGGGCAAAGAAGTTGCACAGGAAGGAAACCAGTGACTATATGAAAAGCGGAACGTGGGCGATGCCAAGGACCTCTCCTGGCTTCACCATCCTAACTCTGAGACACATGCCACTTCTCGGGTTGACTTCTCGACATTTCTCGCCCTCAGCCAAGCAGCAGCTTCAGCTGAATGAAGAGGTCCCGCAGCACTAAGCAAAGAAAGAGCAGTGCAGCGATGAGATAGATGACGAAGAGGGCTCGGTTTGTTGCTGTCTTCCTGGGACTGGGCGCGAGAGAAAGCTTCAGAAGATTGACCGATGCCACGCCGCGCCGGGCATGCCCACCCACAGTCAACCACACACACATATGTAAACAAATAGACATGCCCACATAGAGATGAATACGAAGACATGCACGCATCCATATGTATAAACATATGCTAGAATGCACGTACACAAAATCATAATTTCATAGATGCACATGTGCACAGCACATTCATACACGTGCACATTCATACGTACTGGACTACGCAGGCACCCACTGATCCCACTGCATGGACTCTTCCAGTGTCTTGGTTGGTCTTTCTCGGTTTGGCCTCGGGTGACTACTTTGGCCCTGGACGTTGCACGCAGATCAACCACAAGCACATCTAATGACCCGTGCTGGAACCAAAGGGGGTGGGCAAGAGTGGCCAGGAGGCTCCGCAGCAAAGCTCGTGAGGCCCATGTTGAAGACGTTCAAAGGGAACACCACCAGCTCGATCTGCCGTGTCAGAAGCCCTGTCCCTTGAAGCTGAAACCTGAAGCCGGCGCTTTGCAGGGTCAATCTTCGAGAAAAGAAATCATCCCAGTTGCCCAGAGGACCCAGAAACAAAAGGCTAACCCTTTGGGGCCATGACCAAACATTGACCAACATGGAAAAGGCACATTGGTCAGCAAATGCCAAGAATCCAACAAGCCGAACTATTCTTCTCGTGGCTCCTGCGCAATACATTTTCATGGGGTCGTTCTGCTTACCATTCTATAGAGTGAGCTCCAACAAAGCACTCATCTTCGCAGCACACATGGCGTTGGAAATGCGGATACAAACTGATTAGAAACGCAGTTTTGCGCGCACACAGGGGGGGCTCTAGCCAAACCCAGTGCTTCCAGGCGAGCCACTAGATAGTAACTATAAAATAGTAGGAAAATAACCCTTCGGTATGGCTGTCCCCAGGTTTGAATTCCAAGGTTGGTAAAACGCCTGGAAGCACTTGGGACATGCAACTCGAAAGGCTTTGGAAGCGCTGCGTAAGCAGCATGCCCAACATGGCTTCAACTCCTAGGTTGAAAAACAGCCAGATTTGGGTACCCTTCCTCCCACTAACGTGGCACCTGCCAAAGGGCCCATGGAAGTCGAAATTGACCTTCCAAATACCCCTGCACAAATGCTATGCTAGTGGGAGGAAGGGTAAACCTCAACAACTTAGACAACAGGCCCAGATCAGATTTTGCGGACGGGAACACTTGTCTTTGTGATGCTGTCGTGCAAGCTGCGCCCCAAAGGGCCAAAAGGCACTTCTGACGTAAAGCCCCCAGGCCAACAGCCAAGGCATGCAAGAGTTGACGCCATCATGACAAAGAGCTTCCTGAGTGGATTCTAACCCAAAAAAGTCCAAACTTTGTGTTTGCAACTAGAATGGTCTTCGGAACAAGTAAACAAACCAGAACTCAGGGAGTCAATAACCAGGACTTGTAGGCATGTTGCCCCCGATAACTTTCATGTAAGTCATCGACCCGGCATTGCCACATTCTTCGGCCAGGAACTTCACGCGTGTGTGCGTGAACATGTCCATGTTCCCGTTGTAGGTCACATACTCCAGAACCATACTCACCTCATGGAAAGCAAGTTCGACCTTTCAGCATACTGGGATACCCATGTTTCAAATCAGTGCGGAAAAAACACAACAATATCGCACCTTGGTGGGCACATCGCACTGGAGTTTTGGGACGTGAGCGCAGGGTGAATCTCGGAACGCCCAGCGGGCCAGCTGTAAAGAGAAGAGTCTCTGAACGGAATGGGGACGCCTGGACTGGGTTTAAACAATTGGCTGTGCTTGTCAAGCATCATTTACAAATTCATAAGGGGTTCTGGAGGATTCTGGGATACGCCTTCAAAAGAAACCAGCAGGAAACCAGCCGTTTGTGGGGGTCCCTATTTTCGAGCACAGTCGAATTCTCGCTTTTTTACTGCCCCGTCTGGAAAAGCCTGCAAGGTGAACGAGAGTATGGACATTTGCTGTGCTGGATTACCATTGATCATGGTTTACCACCAAGCTAGTTTTCCCGCCCAGTGGATCCCAATTACCCTCATAGTAGTTAACAAGCTATGTCCCTTGTGGTGTTTAAAGGGTGGTTTCTTTACCTACGATACAGGTAAATGGATCCACTGGGTACGCCCAACCCCTATGTCAGGCCGAAAGGACGTTTCTGTTGACCTCCAGTGATTAGTTGTTGACTTGCCTGCTCGGTTTCGTGCAAGGCTTCCTGTCCACCCCCCCCCCCCTTCCCCCTCTCCCCCGCGCGCGGGAATCTCACTCAAGCTTCGTAACCAGAAGTTGCTGTTTAAAGCCAATCCGAAGGAAAATGGACCTAAAACACAACAGCTCGAATGAAACCCCACCGCCATTGGTTGCACGCCGGCAAGGCGTCGTCGACTCGTCGACCCCCCGTTGCGGATTTTCATGTTCGCCGAGCTGCAGGGCTGAGCTGGTCCCTCTTCAGTATATTCCAAACCTGTGGCTGGCAGAAAGGGCGAAAGGGCGGTTGCTCTCATTTTCACTGAGCAGCTTCACTCAGAAAGGGTGGTTTGGAGTTTGGAGCCCAGTGATTTGGTGGTTCAGGAGGGGATTGAACCCCTGCGGGCAGCAATATGAACATGCAAAGGCTCCAAAGCACGAGCAGCACAGGGGCAGAACTTGCAAGCGACGAGAGCATGAGAGATCCTCGCTTTGCAAAATGCCACCAACAATGTGCCAATGTCCCCTCGCAGCTGGTGTGCCAGCATACTTACTCACTTCCTGAGTGGATTCGCCAAAAATATGCGAACTTGTCATTTACCACTGAAACAGTCTTCCCAAGAGTTTAAGGTTTAGGAACTCAGGAAGTGAGCTTATGTCAAGAAACCATCAAGGCACCAGAGTCAAGGCTGCAACGTGAAAACCTGGCTTCCATCTTTTCTGCGCGCCAAGGCGCGGTTTCGGCCTCCTGGGGGGTCCCACCCAAGCCGAGCACGATGCCCTTCGCACCAATGGAGGTGTAGCGGTGGTCAATCCCGCTGTAGGCACCAGTCATGTAGCCTGGTTCGCACCCCCAACCTGCCCTCTCTCAACAAGACAAGCACTGCTATGTGATAAGAACCGCACAAAGAAACCACAGGTGCCGACTTTTATCTTCAAGCTGACCTGAAAAGTAGACCTATGGCGACCCATCTCAGCTTCAAGGACTGGCGAAAGCAAATCGCCTCGCCTCCATCCCTCTCCAGACTTGAGGCAGCGTTCATTTTGACAAAGGGCCATCACACCCCATATTGCCGAACAAAAACTCCAAGCAGAAAGAAAAACGCCAGCTTGCGGCTTAATCGAGGCACTTCGTCTGGGCACCTAAGACCTGCGAATTCGCCCAGCACATCTTCCACTTGCTTCTCGTCCCCTGGAAGAAATGAGAACAGATAGGTTCCGCTTAAAACCAGCGGGACAAAACAAAAATCGCGTCAGAAAATGGACGCCATGCTTTCAAGCCAAGGGGCTGACATTGCGCAGCTCACCTTCGAAGGTGTGACAGGTCTGCTGTTGGCTGATGATTTCGCCCATGCAGTCCTGGTTTGCGCAATCCTTCATCCTTGGCTGGAAAAGTCGGACCCCAGCAGAACTAGATAAATATATATATATATATATCTTTTTTGCCTGGTGAGTGGAAACCAAAGAGGAACCCCCCCAAAAAAGCAAAAAAGAAAGCAAAAAACGGGGAGCTACTTCTTTTGTGCAGCATCTTGGGATCTAGCTTGTATTGGTAGTCCGCATTGAAGCGAGTGTTCGTGACTGGCTGGAAGCAGGGGATCTGGAGAATGATGCGCACCTGATTCTTCGGCATCACGCCCACCTTGCGAAGACATGCGAATGAGACGTACGGCAAAGACCTGGAACCGCCAAGAGGTAGGAGATAAAATTTGGGCCTCTCAAAATGGACATGTTGGTTGAGAGTAAACGAAAACCAAGAGGACGCCCAGCATTTGGAAAGAGCACACTATTTTGAGGACCCCATAAAAATGAAACAAAGACCCTCTGGCCCTCTGCCCACTGCACTGCCAACATCCTGAAACCACAAACCAAAACTTACCCTGCCACCAACTAACATGGAAGTGCAAAAAGGCCCTTTCCAAGAGGAAAGTAGTCTTTCTACAGGGGTCTGTGCACTTCCATGTTAGCTGGTGGCAGGGTAAAAACCTACAGCACCTGCTTGTGGCACAGCACCTGCACCAGCAACTGCAGCCAAATCACCAAATTTTATTACCCACGTGTGCCCAAAGCTCGCCAGCAAGCGGGAAGTACCCACCACCTGCACCTCAACAATACCTGCCCCAGCAACCCAAGCAAATTGTAGCATCCAGATACCACGCCAGCACCTGCAACAGCACCCCCAACCAACAACCCTTGCCAGAAATGTCCACCTGGGATTAGTAAACGAGGGCCCCCCCCTCAACGATGGGGGCACCTGGAATACTATCTTGAGATCCAGTTCAAGTGAGTTTCCATTTGAGTTAGTATCGGTAGACTTGACTTTCCATTTGATTTCGTATTGCTGAGCTTCTTTTCGGGATTTGGAACTGGATTTCAAATTGATTTAGTCTTGCTGCAGGTTGCTTTTGACATTTGGAATTAAGTTCCAATTCGATTTAGTATTGCTGGAGCTTCCTTTTGAAATTTGGAATTGAGTTTCAATTTGGGTTAGTATTTCTGGAGGTTCCTTTTGATTTTTGTGGGGGGCCCAGGCAACAAGACTTTATTCCAGGGGCCCATCAAATCATGTCGAATTGGGGGCCTGGAGTACTACCCTTTATGGGGTTGATTGTGGGCAGGTGTTAAACAAGAGATGCAAGAAAACATGGGTTTGGGAAACTGGACATTTTGGATGTTGGGGAGCGAAAGAACAAGGTTGTAAAGATCCAAGGGCAAGGTGCTGGCTTGGCTATCTCTCCTCTCCTTTCTCTCCTTTCTCTCCTTTTTGTGCCTGACTTTGTTTTGCAACATCTTGGCGCGGGTGGCGGGTGCTTGCCTTTATTCCAGGTGCATTTAGTAATCTTTTTGGGCCCCCCTTTTATCTTTATTCCGCGTGCGTGTACTAATCCTAGGTAAACATCACCCCATTTGCAATCGATCGCTAAGAATCCATTCCTATACAATTGTATGGTTCTCAGCTAACTGGCGAATAAGAGCAAAGCCATCTAAGCCTTCACCGCTCTGGATTTTACCTTGGCGACCCCACTATTTGGGCTCTTTGTGCATAGTCGAAAGCTGTCGGGCCGAAACAACTCCAAGGCGCGTTCCACGTTCTGAGCCGAACTTCGACATCCACCGCTGCCGTCTGCCTTGCAAGCCCAACGCCCAACCAGACTCGTGGGGTTGGCTTGTAGGACTAGTGACCAGCCCGTCATTGTGTCATCCCCAGTGGAGAGGCCTTCATGGATGACCTGCTGTACCACAGAAGCAGCAAACTCGCCACACATTAGGCAACATCCATCATTATAAAGCTGTACAGTGAGGTGTGGAGTCAACAAGGCAGCAAACATACAGCATAACCTTGTTAACGATGGTGATAGCTTGTTTGTAGACATGGTCTGCTTTAGAAACCAATTTGAGGTCCGAAGACTGCCTGGGGACTTGCCCTAGCCTGCCAGCTCAGCAGAATATCTGCTTCACCATTCAGCAAATATACACGGAAACTGCAACACACACACACACACATTCACACACACATTCACACACACACACACATTCACACACACACACACAGATTCACACACACACACACATTCACACACACACACACATTCACACACACACACACACATTCACACACATTCACACACAGACACACACAGACACACACACAGACACACACAGACACACACAGACACACACAAACACACACAAACAAACACACACACACACAGGCTTTTGTATGCAACCTCTTTAAATTGCAGTATCGATTTGTAATTGGCGGGGCAGCGAAGACAGAAAACCTCAGACTCAATATTTCACCTGGGCACGTTAAAATCCAACAACCAGAACCCTGATGGGGATCCCTCATCCTCATCCGCCCGTGGGACACCAAAAATACAATCTGCCATAAGGATTGAGGAAATGTAATAATTCCAAAACCTGAGAGGGGACATACCTGCTAGTGATCGCGTTTGACCCCCGAATCGGTGAGCCCATAAAACAGGCAGCTATGCTGGGCCCTTGGAAAAAAAAAACAAAAACATTGGATGTTTTGCCCAGTTGCCCCAAAGGACCCAGAAAGAAAAGGTAAACCTTTTGGGGCCAAGACAAAATATGGACCAAGTAGTGGAAACCAAGAGGTCAGATCCGGTCGATTCGCTTGGGGCGAGTGAGTTTGGCGCATGGCTGTTTTCAGTGCAGCCGGGCGACTTCGGACCGAAGCTCATGCCCATACCTGCCGCGTCGAGAAGAAACTGGCGGTTTTATTACAAGAAGAGACGGGGGGGCTCCGGTAAAGAATCACTTCCCGAGATTGGCAACAACAAATCCGACTTTTTGTTTGCCAAGATGGTCGTCCCAAATCAAACAGTTTAAAGTCCCGGAACTCGGGGAGTGAGAAAACCTGGTGCGCTTGGCTGTTTGCCCAGATTCGAGCCATCGAGACAGTGTCGCACAACTCAGGGAATTGTCCTGTGCCAACGGAACCAATTAAGGACACAGCACCCACTTGCAACTCTCAAAGGAAACCCGAACGCCGTACTCCAACAAAAGATGGCTCTGGAACTGTCCGGAACCAAACTTGGCCGCATACCTGGGTCAATTCTGTGCGACTTGGTCACGCAAGCTTGATCCTAGGAAGGCCTTTTCTTGGCCATGGTCAGCTAGGTCCTCCAGATTTGAGAGGTTACAATCAGAGTACCCGATTTTTTCCCGTAGTCTTTAGTAGAAGAACCGAATCTCCCCCCCAAAAAAGAAACGGCTGAGAGGTCGGGCACGCAGTTGCTGGACCGCGGATCCCTGAAATCCTCCCCGCGGATCGGATCCAAGTTGGCCTTCAGTCGACGCTGGTGGCGCGAAGCTCAAGCCTCGGAGCCGAAGCCGCGAGGCCGAAGGGGCGCGAGGCCCAAACCAAGACCATTTTCTCATGCGAAATTGTTTCCGGGCCAATTTCGCAGTCCAACTTCTGGAATTTTAGCACGGTGGATGGTTGCGAAATCCATTTCGCGCCTAAGAAACCGTGGAATGAAGGATTCCACTGTAAATACCAACAAACAACGGCTTCCCATGGTTTCAAAGTGGTGCAGGATTTCGTCCATCCACAGTACGTCCTCTAGTAGAGAGGAAAGAATAAGGGTGCCCTTTTTTCCTGTAGCCAAATATTTGGGGGACCCTCCCCCAAGAAAGGGTAAAAGGGCACTACTGGGGGACCCAGAAGAGTTTTCACCATGAAGCCTGGACATCCAAGAATGCGCAAGAGCATGCCACAAGAATGCGCAAAAGAAACTTGTTTCTGGGGTCATGTTGGAACGGCCATTTGGTAGCACAAAGAGATGAGCCGGCCATCCCTACAAATCGCGGGGGGCTCCGGAAGAAAAAACACTTTTCTGAGTGAATTATAATATTTCACCAGCCTGAAACAAGTTGGTTGGGAGGCTATTCTCCACATAACCACCATTTGGGGTGAATCCGGTCGTGTGAGGTCGTTATAAATTCACCCAAACACATGCAGGATGAAGGCTCATTCTGACAACTCGCCACCTGAGCTACTGGGATGGGAGCAACAAGGCGTGGAATCGGAGCACTTCATGGACACCCAGGGCTCCCATCACACCCATGAAGGGAAGCTCACCTTGACTTGGGGGCAAAAAGGTGATCTTTAAAACCACAAAAAAAAAGACACCTAGGGACCCCTGGCCCAAATTGAATCCCAATTCTCAGTCTGTGTAGCGTGTCTGTGTCGGCTATGAAACCCGGCACTTTAGGTGGCGTTTTTCACGCACATATTGTAGGGAGAAGCCAAACCCAGGCCATGGAAACGCTTCGCGATTGAAGCTAGCTGCTTTGTACAGCCAACGCCGGTTGGCCAGTTCATGTTGCAAAACATTTCATAAGAAATAAAGATCAGTGCCAAACACAAATAACTCCATGCAATGTTCAGATCGATTAAGTTCCACTAAGTACAACATGGCAAGCCTGCGCCTCTCCCTTACAAAGTGTTGCTCTCACATGGGTTCCTAGTTCCAGAGCATGTTGATGCACGTTGAGAAGAGGCGTTTAGGCCAGACTTTGTTAAGATATGGCCTTGCTTGAAAATGGCTCCTTCTGAATGCGATGGGAGGGGTAAGCACTCATTTTATAGTGCCTTTTTCCAACCCGCACTAGGCCTACTTGCAGCTTTTGGATGCATTTAGTGTTCAATGCCGTGTACGCAGCAGTACCTCTAGAAATCAAATTTCAGTGAGTCATTCTGTGTAGCACTGTCCCCTGTGATGTAGCGATGGGCAAAACCTCCCAAGCCAACACAGCACTTTCCTACAAGAACGCTTCGTACATGGTGTCCTTTCTCCGTGAAAAGAACAGGAAGTCGTTGAAACCCAACAAAACACTTGTTCAGAGACTGTTCCCACGTAGGGGTTGCTGTTGGGGATGCCTGCGCATATTTGGTGCCATCTACCCTCACGGTGTTGGGAATTGTTCTGGCTGGTAATTGGATGCCTCCAATTGTTGCTCCTTTGCGATCCATTGGCAAGTGGGCAGGTTGTCCAGTTGCTGCTTGTTTGCGATCCGTCCCTTAAGCCCAGCCAGTTATTGGTTGCTGTTGGCACGTTGTAAAATGTGTTCAACATTATGTGGGTATGGAAGTTCCACAAAGTTTCAATCAAACAATTGTTGCGTCTTAAGATCTGATACCAAATAGCCCTAAAGACTTTGGGGGTGCCGTTTTTTCTGGGTTGGTTTGAAAAGAAATAAAAAGGAAAAACCGAATCCATCTTGGGGGTCCCATTAAACAACCAAAAAGCAAGCCCAGTTTGACGAATCCGCCCTTACCCTCCCCCTGACTAACATGCAAGCTCCCAGCAGCTCTTTGGAAGACTTGGTTCCATCTACAGAGGCCTTCTGGGAGCTTCCATGTTAGTCTCTTGACTGGAATTAGGACCCCAGCCAACAAAAATGTATGTTTTGCCTGGTTAGTGGAGAACAGGGGAGCTACTTCTGGGGAAGGTCTGAAGAAGTGTAAGAGCCAGTATGTTCTTTCCGCGAGGGGCTTTTCTCTGCGAGCTCCGGCAAAGCGCTCAGCTTCAGCTGCAGCTCGGGGCTGCTGCTCTCGATGTAGAGCTGCCTCGGCTGTCTGGAGGCTAGCGGATAAGCAAGCCACTTCCATTTGCTTAAGCCCCCTGGCAAAAAGGATAAAATTTGTGCAGTATTGTCCAGCAGTGATCGATTCCCTGCAAAATCAACCAGGAACGAAGGAGTGGTTCCAACTCTGCTATGACTGGGTGGCTCCAAGCCCGGGCAAAAGGTCGTCGAAAATCGCATTTTTGTAAGGTGTTCCCGGTTCCTTGCATAATCCAAGGTACAGATTTAGGATTGCCTTTGAACAGCTCAGTATGAGGAGGCCATTTCGTTTGAGCATGGTACCAAAGACCAGCAATGCCTTACTCGGGAGGCGCGTAAGGGGGTTTCCCAATTCCAGTCCCGTCTTCTGGGAAAACGGAACCATAAATGGAGATGTCCAGAGACCTATCCCATGTGTAAGGGCCAGGGGATCAAAAAAGCTTTTCGCAAACCACTGCAAAGTATATGCGGATGTTCGCCTATAAAGCACATCACTTCCATTTCCGTTTGCTTTCCTTTATTCCTCATCTCCATTGAATGATCTTTCTTTCCTTTCAACTCCTGGTGTCCCTTCAATCCGGTCTTGTCCTGTATCTTTTGCCCAAAGAGCACGCACGTAGAATTGGCCCACACGGCGAACATGCACCAAACTCAGCGCTGCTGACACGTGTCTCGCTTTGGGAATCTGTAAAGCAAGTGGGACATTCCTATAGGCGTCGGCTTCAGCTGAACGAAATGGCAACCAGCAAGCAGTTCCAGGAGCACATGACGAAAAGCAATGCACACAAAGCATGAATGCAAATATTCAACTTCAGAAAGCCCCGAACCTCTGACCAAGGGGTTCCCAAGTCGGACAATTCTCACCCAAAAATACCCATCACAATGAACCAGCTGGTTCTCTTCCACGAAAACCGAAAACCGGGACTTCGCACATTGCATTTGGTCTGGGCGCCAATTCTGGCGCACAAAGCCGCTTCCATCCTGATTCTCATTGGAGAGGATGCAGTTTCTGGCGCCATGGCAGATGTTGTCACTGCAACTCAGTGGATTCCAGTTGCCCTCATAGCGGGAAACCAGTTGGCTGTGGGTCAAAACCAATCGGCCCATTTTGGGGTAGGTGAATTCACCGCCCATTTTAGTCGATTTTAGTGGGGATTGGGATGTTGACTGGGAGTACGGGCTTTTGACCCTTGGCCAGTTGCTTTCTGCCTGCTTTTTGAAGGCTGGTTCGCTTGGTTCCCTACCATGCAGATACATCCACTGGGCACCATAAGCCCATAAGAACAAATCCCCGACACTTGTTTTCAAGGAGGCAGGATCTTGAAGTACCCGGCATTGCTGAAGGGAGGAAAACTATGCGCACTGGATGCCGGAAGCAAACATCTCAACATGCTGGCATCTAAACTTGGCAGACGGATCGCCTCCAAGTAATTGCGTGGCGGAACCCTGAAACTGTGTAGTTTCCCTTAGCTTCTCTCCAAGCTGACCCCCATTGGCCCCTCAAAAAACACACACAAAAAAAAAAAAACGCATCGTAGCCGCGCGCGCCATAGCGTGGGACAGCCTTCGGGAGATCTCCGAACTCTCCGAAATCTCCGCTCTCAGCCCGCCTGTTGTCGTCGATCTTTCCTACGCAGCCCATCTCCCCCTCGAAGATGGCCTTGTGCATCCAGGAGTTGAAGCTGCCGGGAGCCAACGTCACATTCCTGCCAGGAAAACGCCGTTCTTATTGGAACCACTCAAGCGCCACTATCTCCACCATGCCATTCTCCAGCGCTCATCAAAGGCGATCTGATGCCACTTCGGGTGGTGTTTTTGGAGATCGGGGGGCAAGTGTGGCTGGCCCAGACGCAAAGAATAACCCTAGATTCAAGTCTCGACAAAAGCGTAACAAATCGAGCGTCGTGATTCTTGCTACGCGGTCAGGGAACATGGTTCGACGAAGTCGCCACTCCCCCGGGCTTTACGGGTGTGTCTGAAACCTCTCAACATGTTTGAACCACCGAATTGTCAGAAAGCAACCTCCTCTTGACCTTCCTTCTACTACACCACCAAACTCTCAAAAAAAACCGCCTCCTTGTAGCCTCCTTTCAGCTTTCCCCCTTTGAAGGCTACCCTTCACGTCCACAAAAGGCATTCCCATCGGCTCAGAGCTTCGGGCCTGCCAAGCTCACGGGTTTCTCAGCCCTTCCGCAGCCCCAACCACTTTTGCAAGCTTCTAGGGGGGGGGGGGGGAAGGGGGGGGAAACCAGAGATCCAGAGATCCAAACATCCAGTTAAGGGTTGTTGTAGCCCTGGGATTACGCCCACTGGGAAATAACATACTCAGAGTTGCTACGAAAACGTCCACGGCATCATGCCTGAAGCCCCCCTGCAAAAGCCAGGGTCAATATACATTGTCCGCGCACTGGAATTTGAGGGATCCCCAAATTCATGGACATTTGGCAGCAAGTGTCATTCCCTTTGTTGACGGATCTTGACCGTTGCTCACGTGGGAATGGGTGCACAATTCAGCCCAAAACTGGCTGCGCAAATTGCCTCATCTGGGTAGGCATGTGAAAAGGGGACCCTCCGGTAGTAAGTGGTCAGTAAGCCTGGTTGTAACCCACTGAGCGGAGACTTATAACTAGGTGGTTACCATTGGTTACCCACTTGCCTGACGTGTTCATGCCGCTTTAAGTCATAGGTGGCCTTTTGGAAAAAAAATAGATGGCCCTGGTAAATGGAAGAACCCCCACCTACACCAGTGGAACTTATATGTGTTCATGAAACTAACCTAAGAAAAACACCTATGCTCTAAGTATTTGGATGTGGGTCAAAATTAAACCACCATGGGACCACAGGTTTAATCCAGGTTTCCAGTTACCAGGGTTCCGGGGCATATTTTGACCCGATGCCATTCAGCTCTGCAGGTCCTGAAGTCCACGATGCGCGTGGGGCGGTACTCCTTCCACTCGGGGCCCGCAATGGCGAGGCGGTGGATTTGCGCCAGCGAGAAGGAGTCAGGCACACGGCTCACCTGCAGCGTTTGGGGCTCTGGAACAAGAAAGGCCTTGGTACTTCGGCGCTTCCAGTCACCTCAATACTAAGTAAGCAGGTATTGTGAACTCTAGGTGTTACATACTATATTGCTACGGCCGTGCCACTGTACAAGAACCTATTTGCTAAGAATTTGGACTCTGGGCATCCCCGTCACCTCCCCCAAAACAACGCTGGCCTACTTTCCCGAGCTTTGCAATCCACTCATTCAGCAGCCATTTTGCGGGCAACAACTTTAACTCGGATGCCCAGTGGCCATGGGGAAAAAACGTTTTTTTGTTGCGGAACCCTTCCCCAAAAAATATAAAAAAGGGCACCACTGGGCAACTGGGTTAACCAAGCCTTTCGTCGTGGAGATCTCAGCCATGCCGGTCTCGCCGACAAAAAAAAAAGCACGCAAACAAAATGACTTGCAAGGACCTGAGAGATCGATTTGGCGCGGGGAAGTCGTCAATTCCACTCTTCCCCGTGAATGGGGGTGGGGATACAATTCAAATTTAATGGAACATGAAACCATGAGTGGAATTCCAGGAATCACCCCCCTCCCCAATTCCATTTGCACCGGGGTGAGGATATGCTGCGTGCTCCAGGGAAAGAAATTGACACTTTCTCGCGCTTCGGATGTCACCTAAGGCCTGACACCGTCAGCTGGCAATCCTTGAACCCTTGGACTTTCAATGCAGCGGGTCTGTCTGTTTGCTGGTACCCACCTCTTTGCCGTTGCTTCACAGGGACACCCAAGTAACTTGGGTTGCTTTGTGAGACAACCCGAGAAAAAGGCCCCCTTTCTGCGCCCCAAAAAACCGGCGCCATTGGGGCGCCGACCCTTTGAACAAATTCTTACCTGGGCTGTCCTCAGATCCCCAAAGTACATGATGCTCAGCGGGTTAAATGGACACACCCGCAAAATCAACTCAAAACCTAAACAGCCTAAGGGGATGGCTGGAAACCACCGAGTTAAACAAACTCCTGGTGGTTTCCTACTCAAAGGGGAGCCGGTTCCCTCTTTCGGTTTCCAAAAAAAGGCCTGCAGAGTGAAGATCAGGAAGATGCAGCAAAAGAAGGCCAGCGTGATGCACTCGCAGGAGAACGGCTTCACCCTGCCCTGAAACTCCAAGCGTACCGGGAGGCTGTCGCCGTTGCTGATCTCCTTGAGGATCTCCTGGACGACATGAGACAAAACTTGGTTGGCGTTGGAAGGGGAGCAACAATTTAAATTTTAGCAGTTAAGTGGGGATTTCCCACTAAACCACAATAAGCAAACGTGGAACGCACTTTTAGTGGCAAAGAAAGAGTTTGGTTTTTGGGCCATCCACTCGGACAGTGAGCCTTCCAATCTACCTACTCAGCCAATTCTTTCTGCAGCCAATGCTGGGCAAAAAAGAGCTTTCCATACTGTGGATGAACGAAATCCTGCACCACCTAGGAAACCTGGAATGATGATTCCCCTGTTAAAGACCAAGAAACAATGGATTCAACCATGGTTTCATTTCGTGGTGCGAACGGATTTGAATCCGACGAGCCAATTGGGCGAAGACTTCGAGGATGGAGCGATCACTGCACTGGGAGGCGCCATGGGGCGCCCGAGTGCAAACTCTTCGTCGCTCTTTGCTAGGTCCCCCAGCGAGTCGTGCCCTCCTCTCCCCTTTTTTGGTTGGGAAGGTTCCCCTACTAAAGTAGACTACAGAAAAGTTGGTACCCTTATTCTAAGCTCTCTGCTGGAGGACCTAGTTTGGTCTCACCTTTGTCCTTTCAGCTTGTGGAGATGACACTCACCAGCAACACAGATTTGAACTCTTTTTTTTGCAGGTCAGTTCGACCCAGGCGGCCATGAGCTCGGTGTCCCGTGGTTTCTCTGATTTCCACCTTTGCTGCTCTTGTGTGGTCCTGTTGGTTTACTTCTTGAATCTGGCTGCCTTTTCATGGTTGTTGGGAAACCTGTTTACCAAAAAGTGACTAAGGTCTAGGTTGGAAGGTTGGTGGTACCAACAACTGAATCTTATTTGGGCTGGTTGGTGATGGGTGGCAGCAGGCCTAAGCACCACCTTGCATATTAGTCTCAGCTTGTGCCCGTTTCGCTCGAAGGGGTTCATCCTAGCACCCATAGATCTTCGATTGGCGAAGTTGGAGGATTAGCATTAGATGTGTGTGTGTGTGTTTTTACGGTTGGACCCCCCCCCAAAAAAACGATGGATTTCCTTTTGTTGCCCTCTTAAAGCCACAAAAAGGGTACCCTCAACAAAAGGCAGACCCATATGAATCACCACAAGAATGCAAATGTGTGATGGAAATGTGTTGCCAATTCCCTCTCTGTGCGCCAATGCTTCTTGGCACGCAATGCGCAACGGCGCGCACGCCTCGCGTAGTCGAATGTTCCCGTCCTGTGGGCTTCGTTTGTACTTGTTCTCGAAGTGCTCCTGGCTTCTGAATTTCTCCCGGTCGTAGTTGCCTTTGGAGAAAATGCCCACCAAGCGGAAGCCTCAGGTGAAACCCATAGCGCCACGAGGCCCCAAATCCGCATTCAACTAGGCTGCTCTCCCCCCCAGGCAAAATGTCGTTAGACCTTTGTAGGTTTAGCGCAAAAGCCATTTGTTTCCAAAAGGTCTAAGGGGCTAAAGGGTCACACCACAGACCAGCCACATCGAAAAGTCGCTAAGCTGAGGTTTCTCCTGAATGGTGGCTGCCCGTTACCTACGATGGTGCCAGTAAGCGACCCAGTGACCGGAAATAACAGAGGCAGCAGAATGCAGAAAAGCAAGAGGAGCAGCAGCAAAAGCAAGAAGCGACTGCAGCAGGAGGAGCAGCAGGAAACGGCTCTCAGCAGGAGCATGTTGGAGGAGGAGTCGTGCGTGTGCGTGTGCGTGTGCGTGTGCGTGTGCGTGTCCGTGTGCGTGTGCGTGTGCGTGTGGGTGTGGGTGTGGGTGTGTGTGTGTGTGTGTGTGTGTGTGTGTGTGGGTGTGCGCCTTAACTTGCTTTCCTTGCAAAGCCATCCGAGAATGGACCCCAAAAGGACCCGCCCCAAATCCCAAACAGTCCAGACGTGCTTGCAGGCAAGCCACTATTGTGTGAAACCCCTAGGTTTGAGATCATGGTTTGCCCTGGTTACCTACAGTGGTAACTGGAAGCACTGGGAGTTGATGGGGTAGGATCAGAAAATGCAGACAAGCTCGGACATCGGCGCCAAGCAACCCTGCACCTTGTAGTCCTGTGCGAAGCCATCTGTGGCGGTACCTGAATGCCGAATGGTGACATATTGGAAAGGAGAATGCGTGGCTTGGGCGAAATGATTCGCCAGCCCGCAAGGAATCTTTCAGACACTTCAGTCTTTGTTAGCAAATTCAAGCGAAATCAGTAGGTTAGTTCGCTCAGACTCCAGCACTGAGACTGGTTCGGAATGATTCTGACACGGTTCCAAATGAGAGATGCAGCATAGCGCAATGGTGGCAAGTGGCCGTCCACATAGTAGTGCATCATGCCATCTGGGTAGAATGGTTCAGAAGCACGCAGAAAGACGTCCTCCAGCTGATCCAACTTTGCGAATGATTTTGTTTTCTTCCTTTGCGCCCTTAATAAATTAGCTCAATCGGTCTTCGACAATTGGACCCCTTAGTCGATTGTCGAAAAATTGGGCTGCCTTTCCTGGTGGAGTTCAGCATCACAAGATCTAAGCAACTTGAGCAGCGCGCCACGCACAAGTTCTCGGTTGCCATTGACCATCGCACGAGGCCCAAAAAAACTTTGCGGAGGAGCCCAAAAAGCGTGTTATGACCCAAGGGTTCTCAGAACCTGTCGGGGATGCAACCTCAACGTGGTGAGACTTTCCTCACATCCTGAGTGGATGGGCCAAAAAAGCCACCAAATTTGTCATTTACCGCTGCAAGGTCTCTCCAAGAAAGTGAAAGTCCAGGAGCGGATCATTAGCTATAGCCCTTTTGTCACATGCCCAGTGGCCATGGGAAAAAAAGAGCATCCTTTTTGGGTGGAACCCTTCCCAAAAAAGAAAGGAACAAAGGGGCGGAATCCACTGGCTGCACCTGGGCTTTTTGGTCCTCAGAGATGTCCAAGTCATCCTGGTCGCTGCCTGGTCGCTTCTCGTAGACCACGTTGCCTGCAACGAATTCTCCGAAGGCGAGCGTCTTTGGCAGAGAACCCGAACCACTTAGAAGCCACCAGCACCAAAAGCAACCAACAGCCAGCAAAACGAACCACACAAAAGCCACACACAAACAAAATGATCACTAAAGAAACTAAAAACAGACCAAGGACACAAACACGCCAAACTGAACAAACAAACGGGATAAAAGTCCCAACCAAAAAAGACCCTACGTTGCCACACCGGCCAGGTTGCGGATAATCGGCTGGGTGGCGCGCTTGTCACGGAGACGGGCCACCTGACAAAAGCCGCGCGGAATACGGGATGTGTGACACAACGCTCAATGCAGAATGAAACGCAAGACAAACGCAAACAGAGACCATGGCCGGATAAGGGTTCGGAAACGCTTGACTTATCATTGCCTTTGTTGAGCAAATCAATCGCAACAACGAATGCAGGGCACGGATGTCTCTTTTGTAGCACATATCTTGTTCATGTGGGGCATTGATAGGCCTTTTCCTGACGGCTCTTTTGAATTCACAAACTCGCAACCAAAGATCAAATGTTGATTACATATGGTGAGTTGCCGCAAAATTATGGGGTGAACTCCCTTTATGGGTAGTTTGAGGGTCCAGGTTGTTGTTTCAAAAGGGATTAGTGGCCCAGAACGCCTGCTCGTAGTCCACAGTCTTGCTGGCAGCGCCACCGCCCGCACCAAAGAAGATCTGCTGCAAAGAGAGCAAGCGGCTCCTCGCCGCCGGATGGAATCCGGGCCATTACACTCTTCCAAACTGAGCTGTCCGTTTTCAGATCCCCCGCTAAAAGTTTAACTTTAGTGGGCTAAATGGAAAGCCCCACTATACACTAAAAAGCCAAAAAGCTAAGCGGATGGCTGGGAGCCACCAAGCAAAGTAAGCCTCATGGTGTAGTCAAGTCAAAAAAGGAATCCATGGTGATCAGAGGAAGTGCTTTTAAGCCCCTGAACTGACAGTTGCCGTTGGACCCAGGTAGTCCATACCCACTGGCACAAATGCACTGCCACAAGGCCCAACATGGATCATACCCAACGAAGGATTCGAAAAATAAGACTGGGCTGTCCTCAGATCCTCTGCTTAAGGTTTAACTTCTGGCTTCAATGGAAACCCAACCACTAAGCCAACTGAAAACAGCCGAACACCTTTCAAACGCCGGCCGGGAACTGCCCAAGGCTCCCAATTTTGGACGATGCCCTCCTTTCTTGTCCCTTTCTGAGGGGGTCAAGTGGTCCAAACAAGAGATCCGCTTTGTTCACAACCCAAAGAAGGCGCGCAAAATGCATGTCTCTCTCTCTCTCCTGATGTTGGCGCTGGCGTGCTGCAGGGCGCTCTTGACCGACCGCAGAATCCGTCGCAAGGGTGTCTCCACCTGAGAGTGTCTTCCACCTTGTGACCCGTTCAACTCACGGTTGCGTTCTGCTCCCCTGCTAAAAGTGACTAACTTTTAGTGGTTTAATACGGAAAACCCATCGGTAGGCAAAACGTTAAGGTCCTAACATCCAAGCAAAATGCACCAAAGAATCGGTGCCAACAAATGGGCTCCTTTCACATGCTACCCGGGGCCCATTTACTAGAACCCGCTTAGGACCGAAGAAGTCGCAAGCGGACCAGGCTCAAGAAAACCAGCTGTTGCCGCTTTTTAAGATACATGTGGCATAACCCAAGAACATCTTTCTGAATTCGCTGTGCTTTCTCACCAACTGTGTGAGAAAGGCCAGTTTAGATTAGCACGGGAGGGGATCAAGTCTCTGTAAAACAAGGGGAGGGCAATGTTCAACTGTTCAAGCCTCAACCCTTGCAGAAGCTCCAAGTCGCGCCCTTTCTGAGGCTGCGCTTAACTGATTTCGGAGTTTGCCTTCAAAACCAAGCGCTCGAAGCGCCTGAAACCCTGACTTTCCATTCTGCCAACATGCTTAAGGGTGGTTGTAGGCCTGACTACCTTCATGAAACCACTGGAACCAACTAAAATGACCACATGAGTTTGTCTCAAAATTCGGGCACCTTACAATTGCTGGGGTTTGCTGGCATTCCGTTTAACACCAACCAGCATGTTTCGGCGATGCGGGATGCCGTTAATCAACTGTGGCCCGTGCTCAAACCAACCAAAAGCTTGGGTTCCAGGACAAACAGCAACAACCCCCCAACTGGGCTGCCCGTTTTCGGATCCCCCGCTAAAAGTCTAACTTTTAGTGGGTCAAATGGAAACTACTACTGAATCAGCTAACAGGATCTAACAAGCTAACGCTAGGTCCTCCAGTGGAGAGGTTAGAAGAAGGGTACCCTTTTTTCTGTAGCCTATTTTAGTAGGGGCTTGCCCTCCCAACCAAAAAAGGGGAGTTTCAGGGCACGACTCGCTGGGCCTAGGGGGATGGGAGCGCTTCCGCCCGAGTGGGCCTGCTCCGACTCCGCCAAGCGCTTCCGCTCTTTCAAATACCCGGTCATCAGGATGGTTAGCAGGTACCTCACATGACCCCCGTAGGGGGGCGGGGGCGGGGGGAGGTGAGGAGCGGGGGAAGCCTGCCCCCATTCCATCTAGCCAGCATTCCCCGTTTCAGGGAAATGGGTAACCATCACTTGGCTGTCCCCTGCAAAAAGTGTTTAACATTTTGGGGGGTTAGTGGAAACCCCAACTTGATTTCAACCAAAAAGTTAAAGTGTGAAGCTCCAACTCAGTAGCAGTTCAGTATTCAACCGAAATTCGGGAGCGTCTATTTCCTGGATCTCCCGTGGTTCCGCGTAGGGTGTCCCACTCCTCCCGAATTTCGGCCCCCTAGATCAATGGAGATCTCCAGGGCCCCCAATTCCAGGGAGCGGGGCTCTCAGACGTGAGCCAGCAAGGAAGCTTCCCAAACTTTTTGCCGGGCATGTTCCGGGCATCCCATTTACACGCCACAAGAAACCAGGGGTTCAAATTGAAATCCAAACTACCCCAAACCACCCATTAGGGGATGGGAATCAGGAAGAGGTACGGCTTTGCTGGCTCCGGTGTGATTGCTTTTTGTGTCAATCCCATAGCTTGAGCTCTGGTTTGTTCTTGGGCTTCACGCCTGGGGGCAGAAACATGGCTCTCTCGAGAGCCGCGCGTTTCTTCGTGGGGCATGCGCGCTTTTGGGAAGCAGAGTTCCACTTCCAGCCGAGGGGATCACTGCTACGAGTCTACGAGCGGCCAGTGGACAGGGGCCCTACGAAGGGCCGGGGCCAGGAGGGATGACAACAAAGAACTGGATGAACATGCAGGTGGCTGCAAAAATCAGGCCCTTCTTCGACCCTGGTGCCGTTTAGCTCCCAGCGCTGGTCAACTTGTCACGTGTGAATCGCATGGCCGTAGTTGGTGTTTGTACGCTCCACCCTTGCTCAAAGGGCAGAAACTAGTTTGTGTTACAGTACGGGTGTTCAAGAACACTTCCGCGGGCAATGATAGATGTCGAGCTGCAGCCCATGCGTCAAGCAAGCCGGACTGTCTTCAGTGAATTCAATGTGCTTGCAGGCAGTTGAGGCAGCATGTTGTAAGTCTTTGGGTTCATGCAGGGTCGAAGGAATGGCGACAGCCTTTGGGATTCCCCAAAAGCAGGCCAGTGCCAATACATGTTCGAAAGCACCATGACCCTTCAACGCCCACATCCACATCACATGGACTCATTTCAAGCCAGCACGGGAATGACAGAGTACAAATGCCTGCCCCAAGCTTGGCCAAGGAACTTAGGTCTGGCATGGTCTGGCATATACACAAGCTGCGCATGTATGTATGAGCGCGTTACGTGTATGCGTGTGTGTGGATGTATGTGCGACATGTCGTCCCGCGCAATGCGGTACGAATGCGGTGTTGCTACGTAATGTTGTGATATATGTTTTGTGTGTGTATTCATGTGTGAACGGACACGTGTATGCATGCGTGCCTGCCTGCCTGCATGTATGCCTCCGAACCCTTTTTCTTACTAACTGAGGCCTCCATGATAAGATCATATGCAATTTTGGGGCTGGTTTGACAGGAAACCAAAAGGAAACCACTCATGTTTGGGGATTTCCCTATTTTGAGAGAAACTCACATTTGCATTCTCAGCCCAGTCTTCAATGGGGGGGCGCCCACCCTTGTTTGCCGAGAAATGGGAAAGCAAAACAAAGTAGCAGTCGATGTGTTGGATTCCACTGTAACTTTGGCTTGATTGCCCGAGTCTGTTGGAATTGCATTGTTCACTCCCAGAGTACGTGTTTGCTGTTGGTGACCAACACCACGCAAACATGAAGCCATGCTCGACTTATTATGGAAACAACTCGCCCGAACCAGGTCAAACTCCCTAGCATTGTTTCCGAAGGAAGGGACTATGCGTGCATGCGTGCGTGTATGTATGTATGCATGTCTGTATGCTTGCAGGCAAGCAGGGAGGCAGGGAGGTAGGCAGGTAGGTGGGCAGGTAGGTGTGTATGCATGCATGCACGTGCCTGCATGCTTTTGGGTCATGCATAACGCAATTCCGTTTCGAGCGAAAACGCACGCCTCTGTGCAGCTCAGAGGCTGGGCGAAAATCAGGAAGAAGAAGTGGAAGAAGAGAAAGTACGCATCTCCAAACTGGGGATCTGCGTCCACAATCCCCTGGTAGTTCCTAGGCCAAAAATTCGACAAGTAAGACTGCGCACCTAGTATCACAGTATTGGCGGTGGCGCAGGGACAGTGGCCGAATGTGGCCGAGCGCCACTGTAAGCTCGAATGATCGTCAGAGCGGATATCACTGAATGACCTTTCGAGAAAATTCTTGTTTGGCCGATGCATGTTCGCTTGGGGGAGGAAGCGCCGAACATTTTAGTCATCATCCGCCTTGCCGTGCGATCATTGTAATTGTAGAGCCTTGTCTGCGCTCCTGCGCCTGCTCCATAGCAGCCAAGCAGCGCTTTGCCACGGATCATCTCAACGACGGTCAAGATGCTGTGCGAGATGTTGTTGAACCTTGGCCGGTCAGTCGCCCGACTCCGCACACCGGCCGGGACAGGATCAGCCACGCAAGCTGGCGAGAAACCCAGCGCGCCACCATGATTCAGCGAAATGGCTGGAGCATTGCAAAATTGTCAGTGCGGCGGCGCACCAACCAACCAACCAACCAACCAACCAACTCACCAACCAACCAACCAACCATCCAACCATCCATCCATCCAACCAACCAACCAACCAATAAACAAACACGCAAACAAAGCAGCCAGCCACTACTCAGCAGCAACCAACCAAGCAAACAACCAACCGACGAAACAACAAGGCAAACAAAAACGCAAAACACACAAAAAAACAAAACACGAAAAACAAAACAATCAAACACAGCATGGCTTACTCTGACCAATCCCCCCATGTTTTTTGCTTGGCTGGCTAAGCAAGGGGGGCTGACGGAAACAGCGTAACCCCACAGCAGCCGCCCAGCCCAGCCCTGCATCAAGCAAGCAAGGAAGCAAGGAAGAAAGGAAGAAAGCAAGCAAGTCAGCAAGCTAGCAAGCCAAAGAAACAAGCAACGCAAACAAAACAACAGCAACACAACCAACCAACCAACCAACCAACCAACCAACCAACCAACCAACCAACCAACCAACCAACCAACCAACCATCCAACCAACCAATGAATTCAATGAATGAATGAATCAATGAATGCATAAATGAATGAATGAATGAATGAATGAATGAATGAATGAATGAATGAATGAATGAATGAATGAATGAATGAATGAATGAATGAATGAATCAACCAACCAATCAATCAATGAATGCATCAATCAGTCAGTTAGTCAGTCAGTCAATCAATCAATCAAATCAAATCAAATCAAATTAAAATAAAATCAAATGAATGAATGAATGAATGAATGAATGAATGAATGAATGAATGAATGAATGAATGAATGAATGAATGAATGAATGAATGAATGAATACATGAATGCATGCATGCATGAATGCATGAATGAATGCATGCATGCATGCATGCATGCATAAATGAATGAACATACCAACCAAGCAAGCAACCAAAAGACCCAAGCAACAAGCACCAGCAAGAAGCCGGCCGCCTTGCCTTGCAAAGGTCACGTGTCATAAAGAAGCCCTGGGCCCCTCAGTCTGAATCAGGTGGCTGGTTCAGCTTTTGGCCGAACTCGAACATGCCGGCCAAGCTGAAGCCAAAGATCATGACGAAGAAAATGGCGAAAAAGGTCACCAGGTAGTTGCTCCTGAAAAAAGGAGCTGGCATAAACGTACAAACCCGGCAGCGTGCGGGTTGGGAAACCCAGAAATCCATCACTAATTCAGGGCCATAGCAAAGGGGGAATCCGAAATCCGGTTCAAAAACCCAGAAATCCATGATTAATTCAGGGCCATAGCAAGGGGGATAGGGGGATGGGAAGTCCTAACCCATGGTCATTGATGGCGTGACGCTTGCCGTCGGATTGGGGCTCACCTGGGGCTCTGGTATCGCCTTGCGTTACTGCCAAAAGGAATCTGCAGTTACCGAAATTCACCCAGCAAGTACGAGACCTTCATTGGTGAGCTTGTTTTAAACTAGGTGAGTTTGCCACAATTTCTGCAAAGCTGCAAAAGGAAAACGGCTGCACAAGTGAGCTTGTTGTTACTAACTATAGGCTGCTCGAAATCCATTGAGGCTTCATGACAATCCGCACTGTGCTTCATCCTTGTAATCCATAATCTGCGCTGCAACGCGGGATTCGAAACCTGAACTTCTGCTGGAGCATTGAAGATCCATGCAACCCATGACCACATAATCCATTCCGTAAATCGCATCATCGGAAATCCGCTCATGTGAAATGAAGTTTCGAAGAAGCTCGAACTCACCTGCAACAAGGAATTTCCAAACATAGTGTGGACGAAATCCTGCGTTGAAACCTTTTTGGGGTATCCTCCCTAACCCATAACCACTAACTTTGGGGTATGTCGATTTGTATGCAAGTTCGCATTGAAAAATATTCTTCTGGGGCCCTGCAAAGCTCAGAGCGCCAGGCGCCCGGCTGGAAAGAATACACCTGGGTATTCTTGACTTTCGCTTTTTTAAGGGGCTCGAAATGGTCATCAGATTTTGGTGGGGATTTAATAATTCCGGTCACTTTTCAGGGGGTTCCCTGTTAAAGTTCATTTATCCACATGGAGTGGCTGAAGGAAATTCACCTCTGCGACTTGTTAGCCTCCCTCCCACGTTGCCACATGACAGAGGGTCTGCTGAGGCATTCTTTCACAAATGCGATGTGGTGGGATGATAATTCACCATGAACTAATTGAGGGAACCCTGCTTGGGGGTGATGATTCGTCGTGAAGAAACCAGCAAACAAAACAAGAGTTGGGGACCCCAAAGCACTGCGAGTTGAGGTTCCTGCCGGCCTGTCGAAGTCTGTTCACCCTTTGAAACTTTGTTGAAACATCTGCCCCGGAGTTGCAAGTGGGGCAACACGCCGTTTACGCAAGTATGTCGAGCGTGTGTTGTGTGTGTATATGTGTCTCTGCATGTTGGCATCTGCGTACCCTCATCCCGCCAAACATGCCGAGCTGCATTCGACCAACAGAATCCACCAGAAGACGCAGTTGGGGCAGGATACTGCAGCACTCAGCCACGGCCTTGCGAATCCAACAGGGGCGCTCAGTTTGTACCTGCAGGTATGCATGCACGCACTTGTAAAACATCCGAGTGGGTTGGTGCAGTGTGTGTGTGTGGCCATTGGGTTCCCTTACAAGCAACCCGAAAAGGCTCCGAAAAGGGTACCGCCAACAAAAACATCACTCAAGTTGTTTACTTCTGAAGCGCTAAAATGCTGCGACGTCTGAGTAGGCGCATCGCCAAACATTCTATGGTTGTGAAGGACCCGCCATAAAATATCCAGGAAGTGGTCCATAATGGGCGCAATAAACCTTGCTAGGCACTATCAGGGCCTGTATTGGGGGGCATTGACAACCATAACGCACGGGCCCTGTTCCAAGCCTTGGCAACTGTTCACCGACACGTGGCCACATGGCCATACTCCAACTCATGAGGGGCACAGCGGGCATTGGTTTCTTTGCGTTGACAGGGGTGTGTCTGTTTTTAGGGGATCCCCCACAAATTGGTTGCTTTCGTTTTGGTGTCCCTTTAAAACAGTAACAAAAAGGGTACCCTCAAAGGACAGACCCATATGCACATTCCACAAATTCCGTGCTAAGCACACGTACTGTTGGGTGCCTTTCAACCCGACAATTTGTCCGACCCCACCCCCCACCCCACCTGTCCAACATGTGGCAGCCACGCAAGCCCGGCTAACGCCTTTTTACAGCGATCCCCAAAAAACCGTGCTCCGCATCCCAGCCATCTAACAACGAAGAAAGCGATCCGTTGCTTGCCACTCAACTGGTCCTAACTCCGAGATCTCAGAAGGCCCGCGGACTCGGGAGAGGCAAGGCTAAGGCCGCGGCCTGCAGGAATAACAAACAAGTGGTGACCGAAATGGCCACCTTCAGATCTTGGTTGTTCATTGTCAGCTCCTGAGCGCGAGATTTTTGGCGAGCCTTGAGCCTGGAGCCAGAGACTTACCCCTTAAAACTCCTTTTGCCCTGGGAAGTTCTCATCTTTTACAGTATAGCCCATGTTACCCCCGAAAAGTTGAGAAAAGTTTTGTGTTTTTAAGAGGTAAGGACAGGGCCGCATGGGAGCGGGGGGAAAGGGATTTTCACCTTTTGCGCCCCGAAAACGGGTCCCACGGCAAGCTTCTCGGAATCTTTTGAGCCGCTTGGTTCCAAGAACCTTTCCTGGGTGGAGGGTGAAAGGTGGCTCCTTGACTTTGGCCTTTGCGGCTTAGGCGCTTTTGAAAGATGGAAACCGAAGAAACTGCCTACGTTTGCCATGCCTGCTGCACTCAGCGAAACCCAACACCATGTGTTTCATGGCTCGCCGCAGGCCAAGGCGCAGCTATGTCCTGAAACTCCGTCACTGCCATGGGCAAGCGGAAGTTCAGGAAGGGATAAGACAAGACGATGGCGAGGTACGACCTAAGCAGAAGCATCTGCACCTTGAGCCTTCAAAATGGACAAAAAGCCCAGCATGTGCTGTGCAGGAGTGCCAATGGGGGAGGTCGGGTGAGATGGTGATCACATTGTCGTTTCATCGAATTCGATCCTGTAGGTGTGTGTGTGTGTGCCAAGGCCTGTCTGTACCAATGGCCTATGTGTGCTTTGGCCATCAAGAATCAATAAGGAAGACTGTTTCAGAATCCCAACCCGGGCAGCGCTCCCTGGCGCTTTTTGAGGACGAAAGAACCTGGACAAAGAGTTGTGCCTCATCAATTCTCTGCTTACGTGTTTTCGACCCGGAAAGGAAAAGGTACACCTTTTCTCACCTTGACTAAATACGGACCACGGTTAAACCCAAACAGGTGCGATCCAAAGGCCGGGATTCGCCGCTTCGCAACGAGTCTTCGCTGAAATTTGTCCGAAACGAGTCCGAGTCCGAGTCCGAGTCGCCCGATGACATAGGCGCAAAGGAAGAAAAGGGCGAGGTGTATGTAGCCCATGGGCTCTGAGAAGTAGGCCTTGTAGTCCGCGGACATGTCTTCCAACTGGCCGAAAGTGACTGTGACGGAAATGGAAATGCACGGAGCTCGGCGTGTCGCAAAGCTCAAGCACAGCTCGGGATCCCCACAAAACGTGGGGAGGTCCCCCAATTCCACTTATCGAGTATTCCTCATAAAGGGAAAATAGAACCAGAGATGGAATTCCAGGGTTCTCTCTCCTAAATTCCAATTTCAAGGGGTGGGAATACCAAGGGCTCCATGAGCAAAGGCTTTAGCATGTGTCCTGTCCAAAAAACCGAGCGCCTGCGCTCTAAAGAAGAAGACAAAGCAAACGACGATCACCACGTAGATGGTCAAGCGGAAATATGTTGACACCTGGGCACGCGGAGCGACGCAGCGACAAGCGGCCACTAAATCAATGACTAGTATCTTACAACTTGAGCAAATGAGGGGCGACTGTCCCAGTAGAATATGGGCATTGAATGATAACATTGGAGTTACCCTCCCACCAATTGACATGGAACCTGTCGTTCAGTGACCCCCGAGGCTCTGGCTGTTATTTGCTGGGAGGGGAAAGGCTGTAGATGTTCTGAAATTACTTGGCCCTTTGGTGGACATCATGACCCTTTCAACCGAAAGGGGGGATATGGGGGTGGGAGGTCCCCCAAAGGGAAAATGGGTTACCACAAAAGGAGTTCCAGGGGTTGCCCCCCTAATTCAAAATTTAAGGGGGTGGGGATACGCCTGTTCATGGGGATTCTCCACCAAGCACGCCTAAGATTGATAGCCAAGTTGCTACGCCGAAGTCATGGACATTGAAGGCAAGACTGCTGACCGACACTGACACCTTGCTCTTGCCACTAAAGCCATGCTCGAAGATGAAGGCGATGTGCGAAAGCAGCTCCACATTGCCGTTCCACAACATGATCTCCACCACCTATTTGGAAACCATGGTGAAAAAATACAAAACATGGTGGCTCCAGCTGTCACTGGAGGTTGCAAATGGGATTCCGCCATTGAACACTGAAAGGTCCGAACTTCGACCTGCTACTACCTTTGTACAATTAAACTATTATCACACCAAACGGGACGTGCGCACAATTTGATCACTGTTGTTAGAATTGTTGCACCGGTGCTACTTTGCCCGTTCAGGACTATTCAACACTCTTCGAAAGGCTCCATCATAATTGAAAAATGAGAAGAATAAAAAAGAAAAAGAACAAAAACATGCAGCGCACCAGCTCCCAAAGCGTGACAGCTTTCTGCTTTTGCAGGACATCCGCTTTCGCATGGTTCGAGCAACTGATGCTCCACTCACATGCTGTGGGCCCCATGGCTTGCAAGCAATCAACTCACGAGAGGGTAGCTGCTGAGGCTAGGGCTAGGCAGGGCCCCTTTATTCACCATGGTTCTCAGACTAGGTCCTCCAGATTTGAGAGGTTAGAATAAGGGTACCCGATTTTTTCTGTAGTCTATTGAAGAAAGGGGAACCCTCCCCCCAAAAAGGGTAAAAGGGCACTACTGGGAGACCTAGTCACCATTCGTGGTTCTCAGACCCGTGTCTTGGTTGACGTTGGCAGGGGAGCAAAAAAACATGTTTTAAAAGCAGTTAAGTGGGGAATTCCCACTAAACCACAATAAGCAAACATGCAACATGTTTCCCAACAACAGCCAAGGTCTGAACATCTCCCAGGTTCTTCCTCAGCATGGGCCACGCCGAGTGAACGTCGAAGCGGGGCGCTGAGGCCGGGGCTAAGGAGCCCTGCTGCAGGTTGAACCAGCCCTCACGCTGCATGCTGGTGATCTTCCTGCGGTTGGCGGATGCCGTGGGGCTCTAAGGTCTGTGAAAACCTGTACCAAACCAGGACGTGTGTGGGGAAATTTGTGGAAATCGGATTTTCCATCTTGGAGGCTAACAAGAAATATAACTTTCCGTTCACCCAGCAAAGGAGAGTTGAAGAGGAAAGCCAAAAGCCCCACTCATATTGAGGACCCTGGCAAGAAAGAATCAAATGTGAACCCAGGAGCCGCATTCATATTGACCCTAGAAACGGTGAAATGCTCGCAGATCCCAGGCTTGCTGGAACTCACTTCCGAAGGAGTGGACTGGCCAAAGAAAGCCTGAACTCTTTATTTACAAACAAACCAAAGAAAGCCTGAACTCGTTATGTATCACTAGCATGGTCTTTCCAAAAAGTGACTAAAGTCCATATACTCAGGGAGTCAGGGATTTATGACGGAAGCGCTGAGGTAAGTCCCACCAAAGCCTCTTTATTGAACAAAATTTTACCAGCAACATGGTCTTTCCAAAAACTCTTTATTTACCAAGAAGTGACTCAAGTCCATGAAATCAGGGACTGAAGCTCCCAATCCCCGCCTCATGTTCACCTTCTTGGGGGCCTCGAAATCCAGGATTTCCTCGAAGGCGCCGGCGCGCCGGAACCCCGCGTCCTGCTTGTAGTGGTACCTCGCCAGATTTTTCCGGCGGCGCTTTTTTTCGGGTTGGACCGTTGGACCCCCCGGATTGGTGGTTGGACCCAAAAAATCGGTGTCCAAGAATCGGTTTTTAAGGTTGGTGTCCCTGAAAGCCCCAAAAAATGGTACCCCCAAAAAAGGCACGCCCAAATGGAGACAACAAATAAGGACACGTCAAGCAAACATAGGAGAAACATATAAAGCAAGGAACCGAGGAGAGCACCTAGCTACCCGCTTGTGAAACAAAGGAGTAGGTGCCTCCGAGAGATCATGCCAAGAAGAGCTTCCATTTGGTTTTTCGCCCCCTGAAGAAACATGAAAACATATTTCCAGTCCTTTTAAAACCAACAAAGGGAAAACAATAAATCAAGCAAATGGAAGAAACAAGCTATGGAATCCGTGTCAATGGCTGATAGCCTGCACCAAGTTTACACTGGTATCTTGAAAACTGGCCGCCTCCCGCAATTGGATTCCTGCCCAAACGTGAAACCGAACAACGCGCAAGCAAGCAAAGCAAACGACGAAAGCATGACAAGCAAACGTTTCTGGGCACAACACAACAGAAGAAAGTGCTGCAGGTTCAAATTTGTGAAACTGCGTCGCATACGAGCCTTGCGCGGTTCGCACACTTATTGGAAACACATATTTTGTGCGAGTGATGTATCGTGCCTACGCTGCACGCTGGCCTCTTCCACGCATGCTCAGTCAGGGCATGCAATATTTCCCCCTCAAAACATCACCCCCATAAAGGGAAGCTCACCTCAAAAAAGGCAAAACAGGTGATGCTTAAAACGACAAAAGAAAAACGGAAATACGGGGACCCCTGCCCAAATTGAATCCCAATGGCCAATTCAATCCTGCCCGGCCAAAAAAAAAGGAAATATCGGGTCTGTCAATAGACTCTGTTTCATTAGGCTTGGCACATCCGATTCAGGAATCCAGTAAAGGATTCCTGCCATAAAAAAGCTCCGCTTCGCTCCGCCCCTTTTTGGGGTTCCATCTTCATCTGTAGGGCATTTCGCACCTCTACATAAACTCTATGCTGTCAAGGCGCCTTTTGATGTTGCCAAATGAGCTCGTGTCCTGCAGAGGTAGCTGAACTGAACGGGTTTTGGCGGCTTCGACATGTTGGGATGGGCAATGTTCAAGCCATGGGGGTTGTCATCGTTCAATTTAGGCAAACATCCAAAAACATTCAAACATGTCAGCAATGAGCCATTGCTGGCTAGGATCTGAACACTGCAAGTATGTCTTGCAACATGGGAAGCAACTACCGCCAAAACACCAACCCAAAGCTTTGCCAAAGCATATTAAGGGCAGCTGATATTTGGACGTGAATTGAATTTGGGACCCTTTGAAGGATATCATTTGGGTGGGAGTTTAGGTGGGAATTCATGTCCACCTACCACTTAGGCAGCTCTCCATTGAAATGAATGGCCCCAAATGGCCCTACGGGGGCAAGGGCGCGAGCGTATCGCTCCTCCTCTGAGGGATTGTTGCTGTAGGCATTGGTTCTCCAGGCCGCCATCACCTGCCGAGAAATCCGCCATTTGGGGTGAGGTCGTGTGAGGTCCTTCTAATTCACCCAGCTGGATTGACCTCGTCTTCCCGCTTCTAGCGCATCGAGGTCACACCGCATTGGGGTAAGAAAGCACGTGCTGGTGGCCCGTTTCGACAAAGCTGTCAAATGTCCGGTGCATCGAAACTGAACACTCTCATGCAGGGTAAAGAGCACCTCTCGCTTCTCAGCTTAGTCTGGTCAAATCACAAAAGCCATGTGACGTCCTGAAGGGGACGGCCAAAACTGCATATCCGGCAAGAGCCGCCGTGAGGAAACAGGTCCGAGCTGCTGGCGAATGAACTCGCAGGCCATCAAGGGGAAACCGGCAAACTGACCGCACAGGCCTAACCCACATAAAGAAATCACACTGGAATCGCAGAACCTTGGTACGGAGCTCGCCCCAACCTGCCCAGTGCTTCCTTGGCAGTTCGCTGGAGGAAACCAGTCAGAACCCTCCAGGTACACGGGGAAATCGCCCTGATAGCGAATCGCCCGAAGGAAGCCAGGCCAATCCTTTCGGTTCGGTTCGGCTGGCAGACTCGAAGGCTGAACGTATCCAGAGAGGAATCCCTGGTATGAACCCCTGTGGGCTAAGTAAGCATTAGTTTTGTTCTGGGCTTATGGGACATCAGCCAGTTTTATCCTGGGCTTCATGGGGACATCCGCCCCCAACGGCTTCAAAACGGCCCAGGCTTCATGGACCGAAACCGCCGCCGAAACCGCCGCTCGTGCGGGCAACTCGCCTTCCCGTAAGCGTTGGAGTACACCGGGGACGTGGACTGGACCCTGAGGCCGTGCGGATTGCGCACTCGTGGCGCCCTACGGGGACTGGGAACCTGAGAACCTGCAGCCTCAAAATGTCCCTAAGAATGGGTCATTGCCCCAAAATGATGGGGTGACCTCCGTTTTGCATGGGTAGTTTGAGGGTTCAGGTAGCTGATGAGGCAGTACACCCGAGATATGGAGGATATGAATATGCACAGTTGGTACATCCCGGATTGCCACCAACTAAGTTTTAAGCAAGGAAGAAATGATCGATCAGATCAGACCGAGTTCCATGTGCCGCATTCAGACGACAAACGCGAGGGCATGGCCAAACAAACACATGATTCGGGTTGTTTGTCTCACTTGCTCAAAGGACCCAGAAATAAAAGGTCAACCTTTTGGCACCTCCACTAAAAGTGATCCAAAACGGGAAAACCAAAAGGTCAAAAGGTCGGCTTTGGGCAACTGAGTTGTACGAGCATGGACATGTTGTTGGAACTGCTGCCTCAAAAAGCTGCAAAATCCAGCTCAGGGGTATGGAAGAAACTAGCCTGCCGCCATGACCTGCTACGCAGCTCGCAGTACTAAGAAGCCGCCAATTTCTATCAGTCTTGGAAGCAGCGTTGTACGACGGGGCTGGGAGGCTCAGCGAGCACATTGGCCCATTTGTAGTTGGCCATAACCGTTTCTTTTTTCGTATATAAAGAGGCATTCGCTTGCTAAAAAAAACAAAGGTGTCCTTTTGGGAACGCGCATGGCCCTGGCAGACCATCAAAACAACCAGGTCAACCAGGAACCGTCCTCTCAAGCAACCCAAAGTTGGACACCTATTACAGGGGTCCTTTTGGTAAAATAGATGGGTGTCCCTGGCATATGGTTTCTGAAACCAATATTTCTAAGCCAACCGATCAAAAGGACCGACCTACGACACTTCCGTCACCTATCCCAGTGGATCCATTTACCAGGTTTTGTCGGTAACCAAGCAAACCACCCGATACACAAACCCAAAGTACCTGGTTACTTGGCTGGAATTAGGACCCCAGCAAAAAATAAAAATAAAAGGCGGGTTAGTGGAAAACAAAGGGAACCCCCCCCTCAAAAAAAAAGAGGGAACTAATTCTGGAGAAGGTTACGGCTTGCAACCGATGCCCTGGACCAGCTTCGCGGCCAAACCAAACCAACCGAAAACAACCCAAACAACTCCAAAGCAACTGAACATACACCAAAAACAAACCAAAACAACCTAAACAGGACAGCAAAAAAGGCCAACAACAACAATTTTCACCTTCCCGCTCCCTTCCGCTGAAGAAACAAACACTGAAATTTAATTAAATTGTGTTTTTTCCGGTCCGCAAAAGACCACGGCTTCGGGCTCCGAGGGGCATCTTTCGGCGCTTCAGGGAGATCCGGCCCATGAGCGCTTGGTTGAAACGGCCCACCATCAGCCCACGCGCCGCCGGCTTGCCCACCTCGATTCGACTCGAAGCGCGGGGAAGTGATTTGGCCATGGGTCGAAATCAAAATCGTCCCAGTGAACATCCCAATCCAACCACTCAGGTTCTAACATGGGTGGTGAATTCACCTACCCCAAAATGGGATCCCATTGGTTTTGACCCACAGCCACTTCTTCCGAGCCGAGGCTGGATGCAAAAGTGACCACCCGGAGGAAAAAAGCGGTTGCCCCTTATTGGATGGAACCGACTTGTTCTCTCAAAACCCTTTTGCCCCTTAAATGGAAACGTGTTGTTTGTCGCTTCCTCGTCGGCAAAAGGAGAAAAAAACACCAGGACAAACATGGCGAACCGTTCGCGTTTTGCTCGGATCCGAGAGGGCAAACGGGAAAAACAACAGAGAGCCCAATTGCCCCTTTGCTCAATGTGTGAAACTACAAGCCACTCTTTCCAACCGGTGAAATCAATGCCCCTTATTCCCTATGGGTGTTGGTTTTTGGTTTACTCTCTCAGGGGCCGTGCTTGGGTCGTGTACAACACCTCATAGAATAGGACGTGTTTCTTTGCAGTGCAGATTCACCGAATTGGATGACCCCCCAAAGGAACCAACTGAACATGGAACCAAAGGCAACTGCATGTTTCAAGGGATCTCCTTGCAGAATCTCCTCTTGCGGATCCTCACAGTCCGGTTGTTAGTCCTCCAGAAATTGTGCTTAGACTCGAGTCTCGAAATGGCTCGAACACCGGCAATCCAGTCCGGAAGGGCCACAGGCATGCAGGTCAGAAACTCAACTTCTCTAGGTTGATCCCCTTTTCCATTCTTTGCAACCATCCTTCTTTTCAAAACCCAGATCCGTTTTCCGCTAGAATCAGGGTACCAACTTGTTTCTGTTTTTTTTTACTAGGGGAACCCTCCAAAGGGGTGAGAAAGGGCACTGGGAAACCCCTCCGCAACTCACAACTTGGTGGCTGGAAGGACTCCGCCGCAAGTTGGACTCGCTGGGTCCCAGACCGCGGAGAAAAAAACCCGAGCCGAGCCAAGCTTCAAAGCTTCAAGCCTAAAGATCCGGTAACAGCCAAAGAAACGAGAGGTTTTTGGGAGCGCCAAATTTGGGGGCAGAATAAGTGGCAGCCCCAACCTTTCCCAAAAAAAGGAAAACACAAAGCTGGAATCGCCAATTTCTGGAAGGCTCAAACTCTGAATGAAATCCCAGGATGGTTGGGCACTGTTGGAACCAACCTTTGCTTCCCTTCCTCTTCCAACTCCTTGGACTTGCCCCTGCCGGATCGCCCCACTGGAATCCTTCACTTTTGGGGGATGGCTTTAGCACTCCCACGGCGTATCGGCCTGTTTACTTCATTGACGTGGAAGCCAACAGCATGACTTCGGTTTTGGAAAAAAACTCCTTTTGGGGGACTATCCTTTTGGGGTCCTCTCAGGGACCATGAGGGACCATTTCCCTGTCAGGATTCACGGGAACGTGGAAGGGTATCAGGCAGGTACTGCCACTCCGCGCCAAGCCCAACGTTGAAACGCTTTGCATCTGTAGCACCCGCTCCGGGCAGAAGCTGATGTTCACCGGATCGTCTTCTTCCTGGTTGCCACCGGATCGTCCGAGTGTCTCATGAGTCGCCCACGTGGCAGGTTGACAACACGCTTTCACATATGGGTTTGTCTCGAAAAAGAGGAACCCAACAAATGGCGGTGCTCTGCATCTTGCTTTTTAAACCAACCTCGAAAATGAAAAGGATATATTCCAAAAAAGACCCACCCATGCGCAGCCACCCTACAGACTGGGCCGCTGACCAGCAGCGCAGGCTTCTTCCAGCCGGTGAGAAAGCTAAGCCAAGCAGGTATCGTGTCGGCGCAGTTGGCCGACAGATCCAACACCTCAGCATTGCACATGCCTGACTGAATGGACCGATGCACCATCACACTGACATGAGAACAGCTACACCTATGCAAATCCTGAGCGAGGATATCAACTCGGTACGCTTCATGGCTCGTTTGCGGAAAGTAAGCTTGCCAAAGACCACACATGCGAGGCCAAAGGCTCCCCTAAAAAGTGAATTGATCTATTCAAGGGTTCATAGGGTATCATGGACAAACCTCGGTTGCTTTCTGCTCCCCTGCTAAAAGTTTAACTTTTAGTGGCTTAATACGGAAATCCCATTTGTTAGCAAAAGTTAAAGTCCCAACATCCAAGCAACATGCACCAAAGAAGCACACACTCAAACAGAACGGCAACAAAAAGGCTCCGGACATGCTGGCAAGCATGCCCACACAGGTTGTTTGGGTGCAAACACTCATCTTTCTTCATTCGTGGTGGGAAGCTTCCCACTTTCGTTCAAGTTGAGGCCAACAGCCAACATTCGCTGAAGCAATGATGACAAGCAAGCAAGCAAAGGGATATCCCACTTTCGTAGTGCTTTTATGCTTGCACGTGCCGCAATTGCCTTTGCCCATGTGTCCACCACTTCAAGGAGTGCTGGCGATGAATGCTTTGGGAAATGAAGCTGGTAAACGCGTCAACGGCTCCCGGCCGGAGTGGCCTAAGTGCTAGCTTGTCCATACCTGGCAGTCATATTCTTCCCCTGTGTCACGCCGTGCATGTTGCTTTCGCGATCATAGCGGTGTCAGGGCATTCGCACAGAGTCCGCATGTCCGTGCACGTTTGAACACGGGTCCTGCATCTCCCACATGAGCCCTCTGTATGTGTTTGTGCGCATCTACGTTTGCATCCGCATTGCATCAGGCCTATATGTTTGCCAGTCTCTGCGGTATTGGGCCTGTGCCTCTGCCTTCTCTCAGTCCCTGTCTCTCTCCCTCCCTCGCCATCTCTTTTTTTGCACCCGCCAAGACACAGAAGTGTTGGCGGTTAGATTTCGATCCTTCGTCTCGTAGACATGCATAGGGCAGGCTGCTCCCACGCATTGCTGGCAGCAACCTTTTCTGCTCCTTAGTCGCGGAGGCCAATGAAAATCCAGCCAACCTTTCGCTAGCGGCTGGCCGCGTGCCTCACGCAAAGCAACCATGCCTGGCCGGCTGTTCGCGCTCGGATTCGCACACCTGGGTGTGTGTGGGTGGTGTGTGTGTGTGTGTGTGTGTGTGTGTGTGTGTGTGTGTGTGTGTGTGTGTGTGTGTGTGTGTGTGTGTGTGTGTGTGTGTGCGTCTGTGTGTCTGTGTGTGTGTATTAATATCATGTCTTGTAAGCCTATGTGTGCAGTAATCTTACCTGCATTTTTTGAAAGTTAATAATTCCCACTCCAAAAGCAAAAAACTAGTACTTTCTTCCATGCTGGAGTGATAATTTTCACTCCGTGTTAAAATGCCCGTTCGGGTAGTTCCGACTGCTCAGGCATCCGTTCGGACCCGTTCAGAACCCGTTCGAAACCCGTTCGAAACCCGTTCGAAACCCGTTCGAACCCGTTCGAACCCGTTCGTACCCGTTCGGACCCGTTCGGACCCGTTCGGAGGTACCTAAAAAAATACGCCAACATTACGCAATAAGCCTTTGATAATTTATGTGCAGTGCTGATTTATGAACACTTCGATGGTAGTGAAAATATCCGTTCAAGAGTAGAAATACCCGTTCGAAAGTGGAAATACCCGTGTCCTCAGGCCAAAAAGTACTTTTTCAATTTTGGAGTAGGAATTCTTAACTCCCAGGAGATCCAGGTATGTAATGTTCTGTATCGTAGAGTAACTGTATCGTAGAGTACTGTGTTGTATTACATAACTGCCAAAACGGTGAAGCCGCCTGCAAGACCACCAATGGTTCAGTGGGCTGCCACCCCCCTGAGAATCCGTGCGAAAACTTGTGCATAATGTCAAGCCAGGATTGTTAACCCCTCCCCCCAATCTATTTATATGGGGTCCCTGGAGTTAGTGCGGGTTCATCACTTGTAGAGGGGAACACCGTATGAAAAATATGCTGGGGCGTCAAATTTCTCCTGGGCCAACATTACCTCGGGCGCATGTCAGCCAAGGCTCCCCATGTGCGAAGGGCAGTTGCCTTCTCCGGCCACCAAGGACCCGGCACACTCGGAGTCCAAGTTGGCATTGCCCTCCCCCAAACGGCAGGGATTCGACTTGGTGCAGTAGGCCTGCGAAAGAAAATCATGTCACCAACTCCGAGTATGGCATAGTTGCCCACATCCACCCTCCAAACGGGGTCAACTCTGAAGTCTTCTTATACTACCTACTACATGATTGCGTGGGAATCAATGGGCCTAAACTACTCTGAAAACACTCTGCATCTCCCGAAGCGCAGTAAAACTCGTTCACTTGACTACTCAGTCGCTCCAAACAATTGCACGACATGGCTATTCATATTGGGATCACGTGGTGCCTGCCTCATCGTTTCCATTCTCAGCCCGTTCCATGTACAGCTGGTTGATGAACACATTCTCCAACCACAGGTGCACATCTCTAGGCCCGTGTACGTCGTAGATAACGCTTTTGGGGTACTGCCTCCATGGTGCATTCAGAAATCGCGCGCCCGCTGCTTGGAACATTTCTGCTGAGACATCCGTCTCTTGCAAGAAGGTGAAAGCCAGGAATGCCAAGGCGAAACACAAAGACAGCAGAACCGGCATCACTGTGGACGACATGGCTCAGCCAAGGTCCTGCCCCTCCGTTTCGGAGAGGGCAAGGGAATATCAACGCGGCGTTCCCTTCACAGGGTCTGCTCGCTCCGGCGGGGGAGTGTTTGTGCTCTTTGGTTTGTCTGTGTGCTTGAAGCTTGGCTCAAGCCGATGGCGTCCCATTTGGCCACCTCATACCAAGTGCTGTTCGCGTCTGCTTTCGATGGCCTGCCCGCGCTTCTTTCGCGCGTTCTTGCTTCTGAGCCGAGGGGCAGGCCGACCGAGGGGGCGGCACGTCCAAAGCCCTCAAAGCGTCCATAAGGAAAGGGCCAAACTAGAACTACTGTCGTCTAAGACATGCATGGGATGTTTTTTCACTGGCCATGGGTTTCTCAGCTGCCCAAAGGCCCCAGAAAACAAAAGGTTGTCCTTTTGGTGACTGAAAATGGACCAAAATAGGAAAGCCAAAAGGTCAAAAGGTCGATTCGCTTTGGGCAAGTGAGGTTTGCGCTGTTTGGCATCGCACATTCCAAGCCCAAGCCTGAGAAAGCTGCCCTGTGACGCAATCTTGGCTTCTGACGATGCCAGAACGCCATGCTTAGCCGTGGATGGTGAACAAAAATGCAAACATACTCACAAACGGGCCAAAAAAGAACAAGTGCTCAGACGAGCCCACTGATGCTTTTGTTCGGCATTCAAAACATTGAGGTGTAGTTGTATGTCCTCACATCTGGCTGCAAAGCCCAGAAACAAGCTGTGTAGGTTCAGCATAGACGGCAAGACCTGACATGTGTGTGTGTGTGTGTGTGAATTTCACTAAGGGAGCCTTTCGTGGACATCTTCAGATGCCCAGTGGCCAGGGGAAAAAACAGGGGGCATCGTTCTTTTGGTTGGTTGAGTTTAAAGGGAACCCTTCCCCCCCAGAAAAAAGGAAGCAACCCGCTGGGCAACTGGGCAGAATTCATTCGGTGCCGTGCCTCCAAGCGGTCCCTTATTGAACCAATCCCCATGCCCACGCAAGCTGGGGTACTTCCACGGAAGTGGAGAATTGGCCCCAGGAAACACCAGCGCAAGTCCAACCAAACTTTGGGAAAAGTTGGGGGCCATGCCACAAAAGAGATCCTCCCTTTGCTTGTTCGCCCCCTGGCAAAGAGCAGCAAAGATGTCCAGTAGTGATAGGTTCCCTTTAAGACCAACAGGGCAAAATAAACTATATGGCTGTGGGTCAAAACCAATGGTACCATGTTGGGGTAGGTGCACCACCCATGTTAGAACCTATTTCAGTGGTTGGATTGGGATGTTCACTCGGGGCAAACCGATTTGGATTGTGACCCATGGCCACATTCAGCAAATTGGAAGCGAAAAGGCCAGCAAACATGCATCTGGAAGCAACCAAGATCAGCACCAAAGAGGCGATTGAGCCCCTCTGAGCTTCGGGCCGAGCTTCACCCTTCCCACGCCTCAAGGGCATGATGTTCAATGCGCCGATGGTTTCCGCGGCGTGGAAGAAGCTACACATTCGAAGAAACTCGCAAGCAGAGAATCTGTATATATGGGTATGGCTCAAAAAACCGGATTCCAAAATGGGTTGCCCTGGTAACTGGAAACATGGACCAAAACCTGCGTAACCCTAGCTCTTAATTTTGAGCCACTGCCATATCATTGGGACCGCATCGCTGTGGAAGTGCTGGATCGCTAAGCGACATCATCCAGTGTCGTGCAAGATGCAGGCATCACAACCGGATGTAAATCGTATTACTCCAGTAGGCAAGCTGTACTTGATCGTTTGGACTTCCACGCAAATTGCCATGGCTTCCTAAAATCAAGGGAGGAGTCACCAACCAACAACTCTCAATAGCCGCCATTTATTATTACTATATTCCTTTGCGCCTGTGTGTTGGAAAGGGCCCCTTTATTGACACAAACGCCTCCAAAACGTGACACGTGGCCAGGTGCCACCAAGCAGCCTATGCCACCGTGGCCTGCGCGTGCAAGATGCGAATAGAAATTGCTCAGACCCAAATGAGAAGCGCTCAAGACCCGTGTCTTTTGGTTCTACCAAAATGATTCTACAGCTTGATTTTGTCTTTTTTATCGCCCCTACTAAGCCCAGGAAGTAGAACCGACATGGCCATTGGGGTCTTAGGCGCTGCTCCAAGACATAAACACCATAAAATCACGCATCTAACTAGGCCGCGGCCACCTGCGCTGGCCAGGGTGCAGCCGCCCAACAGCTTGAATGCGAACATGCTTGCGGTGGAAAATCGCAAACAGCATAGGTGCCATTTGGGTAAAAAGTAGATGGCCCTGGCAACTCGAACGAAACCATTCTAAATCCTTGCCATCTATTTCTATCCAACAACAAAAACACAATGACGGGGAGCTGTTTCTTGGGTGTTGCAATCGTTGCAATGGGGCGAAACCGTCTCACGACTCCACGCGTTTCGCGTCGCGCTTCGGCGTGCTTTCTCCAGCTCAACGCGGCCGCGGGAAGCATCTGCTAGGTGCGCCAGAGAGGTGGGCAGAAGTCTTGGTTGACTCACTTGCCCAAAGGACCCAGAAATAAAAGGTGATCACCTTTTGGGGTGACTAAAACTAGACTAAAAAGGAGAAACCAAAAGGTCAAAAGGTCTGCTTTGGGCAACTGAGTTGACCAACTGCAAACAGTTTTTCACTTTTGGGGGGTTTAGTGGAAAACCTAACTTGATTTCAACCAAACAGCTAAAGTCTAAAGATCCAGCCCAATAGCAGTCAAGAAGTGCACCATTTTTTCTCTAGTCTACTAGTAGGGGAACCCTCCCCCAAAAAAGGGTAAAAGGGCACTACTGCACTACTGGGGGACCTAGGCATTGTGCGTTTGCAAGCCAAACCGGCGCTACCTCGCTGACGCGCATGAAGGGTGCATATAAAGAACAACATGCATACAAATCCCGGTTGCCCAGTGACCCGTAGAAACATGGAGCATCTTTTGGATTGACAATTTTAGCAGGGGAGCCACCAAGAATGGAAAAGGCTGCCACTGAACAACTGGGAATTTGTACGTCTGCGCATGATGCAGAGCCCATGCGCTCCATCTCTTTCAGAGGGCTGAGACCAGGCCTTTCCTGGACCACACTCAAACTTGGGAGTACCGCATGCCACTCCACAGTGTGCGGACAAAAACAATTCACATACTGCTGATCCCGGATTCATCCGCCCATTCTAGGGCACTGTTCCCCTCCAAAAGGTGAATCCCACATCCGAAGGGACGGATGGAGATCTAATCGCGCTCAGGCCCGGAAAGGCTCGCGCAGGCAGCCAAGGTACCATCGCGAAAAAAGCCGCGCCTCTGATCAGCGTGGCGAGGCGAGATTTTTTTGCGCCCAGCGAATCGGATGCAAGAACAGGGGGGAAAACCGCTCCCCCCGTACCATAATCACGCCAGGGTGGGATGATGTTGGTGAACTTTTTGGACCTGTCATGAAAAACGTTACCGAAAGGCAGTTCCAGATTTCGCCTGCCTGCGCCTTCCACACACGGTGCATGGTGCATGTACAACGAAATCCCACAGAATTGGGTTTTGGTGCACCCTGCCAAACCTACGAAGACCAATTATACATCAATAGATTTATTGTCCCGAGTTGGCGAGCCAGAGACAGGATCCGGACCGGACAAGACGAGTTAAAACACCCAGTGACCCAGAAATGCAAAGCGCTTGCAGTTCGCACCTTGATTCCCAAGCCAAGCCATGCTAAAAAGCAAAAGATGCCTAGCCACCGCCCGACACAATATCCAAAACCGGGGCTTGAACGAATCAAACAACTTTCCATCCCAGCTGGTTTTCTATGTCTGCTTCTTTAGTGGAAGTTGAGTCAAATGGCTGTGGGTCAAAAATGCGTACCCAAAATGGAACCAAAGACTAAAACATGCGGTCCCCTGGTGGTTTCAGTTTGACTCACATCCATAGTCAAACCTGATGGTGTTTGAGCTGGCCGAAAAACTTGGAGCGTTTTTGGGGTGAACCGCGGCCGAGGCGCCATCACAGGGTTCATATCCTCCGGAACGGCCTGCCACTTGGCTAAGACCTGGCGCAGTCTGACAGGTCTGAGGCATGTTGGGGAAAAAACGACTTGTAAGACCAAAGTTCAACGGGGATCCTTACATTATACACCTGAACATTGCCTTGTAAATGTTTCCCTTTATTTTGGTGTTAAAAAAGTAACATGTGTCGAATAGGCAAAATGTATGTTCTAAGGAGCCCTGTTCAAAGACACGAGGGAAATCTACAGGGAGTTAGCCGGACCCCTGTTATTTGCAGCTGATTTTCGTGAGGCTCCTTCAAAGTGGCACTATGCCTTTGCTGCTTGAAAGGAGGCCCTTAGCAAGGTGTCTTGCTCGGTACAGCTGCCTTTGACATTCTGACGCGTAATATGTGCGTACGTAGTTATGTATGTGCAAATGTACATATATATATATATATATATATATGTGTGTTAAGGTATGTACACACATCTGTATGTGTGTCCCAGGGCTTCCACTATCCACTATAGTAAGCAACCAGGAATTCTTACCTCTAGGTTTTGCATGCACCTACAGTAGCTGCGAAACGACTGGAAGCACTGGGTATATATATATATACACACACACATATATATATATATATATACATAGGTGTACGTGCTGCAAGTGGGACAGCCCCCAAGAAAACCACTCGTTCTGCAATTGTCCATGTGCGGTAGGCCCAGATTTCTTTGCTTGATGTTGAGAAGGCGTTCCCACAAGAAAGGCATTCGCAGGCTTTTTGGGGGGCGGGGGGTGCAAACTGCTCCAATCCCGTAAAACACTTGGTAAGATAGTTGTTTTTTGCAGGCCCCCCCACAAAAAATGAACCGAACCTAAAAACTCGCCAACAACGGTGAAGAATTCATACCGGAACTAAAGCCTCCCACCACAGACATCAAGAAAAAGTTTGGCTGTGCAACATCGATTCAGCTGCCCACATGTCATTGAACAGCTCTCCCAGTGTGGCTGGGGATGCTGGGGCTTAT